TGTTGTTGTGCGTCGTCTACTTTGCTGTCACATCAGTTTTTTTTTGATAATTGCAGATATCCATATCGTAACGTAACAGCATGTGTCTACTTCTGAGTTTGGTTTTTCTGTTATGAAAGATATTAAAATTTGTTTTCATATTTTTGACATTGAAATTTTAGTATTTCGTAGCAAATGTTGAAAACCAAAATGAAATTGAAAATCATCCCCCATCAATCTTTTAATTATGTTTTTGAATAAAATTGTTGATGTTATATTTTAGCTGATGTTTTTTCTTTACTAACAAGGAACTTCTCGATTTTACGGCAAAAGACAGTTGCTAGCTTGCTCTGTGTTATTTTCCAAAACAACTTTTCGAACAAAAAAAAAAAATATATGAGAACGACCATAAAATATGAAACAATGAATGAATATTAAAAAATATACATATAACCACGTACATATTTTAGTATGGAGGTTCATTGTATGAACTATTTTTTTATGGTTAAGGCTTCCTGATAAAATATCCACACAGGATGAGATAAAAAAACTGCAACAAAGTCAAAAGCAATAATTTTTTAGCATTTTTTTTTAAATTTAATTGAATGGAAGCAAAAAAAGTCGGAAATAGCATCAAATTTTAGAATAAGTTTAGATTTGTTCGAATTGTTGACCTTTGGCACAAATTATGGCTTTTTAACGGCCAATGAAACCGTCACACGCTGCCCGAATGCTGCTCTGCGGTATTTTGGCCCATTTCCGGCAAAGCGCTGGCTTAAGGTGATCAACACTTTGGTTTTTTTTACTGACAACCTTGCTTTCCGAAATACTGCAGACACAATAGTCTAACGGATTGATATCCGGAGATTTTGGTGGCCATTGTGCGCTGGAAATGAAGCGAGGAACCTCATTTTGTAAGCATTCTTGGGTGGCGAGTGCTGAGTGCGATGGTGCTGAGTCCTGTCGGAATATCCAAGGTCTAAAATGTTTGCATTCCCAAAACCGTAATAGACCCCCCAGAATATTTTCGCGATAATATTCGGCATTTATTCCGATGGTCGATTAATACGTGCGAATTGCCACCATCGGCTGTTATGGCGGCCCACACCATCATCATGGCTGGCGCTTGAGTTCTGGTGGGTTGGTGTATATTTTCAGTTGACCTCATTGGCAAGTAAACTGAATCATTTTGTTTGTTTACAAATTGGTGGACAATGAATGTTTTCCCATAGGAGAAAACCAAATTCGGGAGTTTACTACTTTCGGGCAAGCGAAGTAACTCTTTAGCTCTTTTGAGTCTATTTTCTTTCTGTTGCGGTGCAAGTTCTTGCACGTGTTGGAATTTCAATGGCTTTGCCCCGAGCTAAATTTCCAATATTTGCCGAATGGAGTATTGCGATATATTCAGCTCACCAGCCATTTTTCGGCCACTTCTTCGCGGGTTTCAATTAAGTCGCTTCTTTACTTTTCGAACCATTTATTCCGACCACTTCCTTGACAAATGTCGGGCTACGCTACCATTATCACGGTAACGAGCGATGGTACGAGACACAAAAGATTTATTCACATTTAAATGCTGGAGTGCTCTAACGATGGCCACTTGTGTTTTTCCGGCCAAATATAAAGAAATCACACCATCACGCTTCAATTTCATCACAAATAACTTTTATTCTGGAAAATTCTCACGCTTATAAAATTGGTACGCTTAAAAACAATATAATGAGCTGTCACTGAAATAATTTTAACAGCTCTCAGGCGAGTGGCTTAGAAATGACAGCAATCTGAAGCTTGTTGGAATTTTTTTATCTCACCCTGTGTTCTTCAGCAGCGCAAAATTCTAAGTCGTTGACGATTTAGTACACTTTCTAAAGGAATTGTTTCAAATTGGATTTTGGAGATTATAATGGGTTCTGCCTCCTGTGTCTATACAAGTTTATAATATGCTATAGCCCCATATAATTGTACCTTTCCATATTCAGTATTTAAGTAATTTTTGCATTAGTTTCCAGCGGAATAGTATGAAATTTGGAATTTGGAGTTCATGAGCGGCCAAATATTGCCTATATAGTTCTACATTTTCCTCTAGCACCTAGGTAAACGGTACCATCCCATATTCGGTATTTTGTTGATTATTGACACATTTTGTAAAGTTATAATTTAAAATTTGGTATATAGATTTCATAATGGAACGTATCATCTGTGGCAGAATATTGTTTATATAGGTCCAATTTTAGCTTCCTGTAAAGGTACCTCCCAAATTCCGTAGTTTAGTATCAGTTTCTAGTTAAATAGTTTCCACCTATAATGAAAAAAATTACCAAGTGGGGCTACGCTTTTTTTGTAGTCCCCACAGTTTGGTACCAACATATATTTATTGTTCATATGTTCTTAGCCATATTTTCTAACGGAAAAGATCTAAATTTGGTGTTTGTTATTCGCAAAGCCAACTGTAGTAGAAAATTGACTATGTAGTTCTATGTTTTGGTATAGCTCCTAAATAACGGTAGTTTTCCATATTCGGTATTTTGATTTAGCCAAATTTTCTAACGGAATTTTTTAAAATTTGGTATTTGGATTTCGTAAAGCGATCAGAAGCAGGAGTAGCTCCATTCTCCGTTTTTCGGTAATTTGATGAATTCGGACACAACTTTTTTTTATAGAATCGTTTGAAATTTTTGTATGTTCATAATGACAGAAGTGTCGAATACCACTCGAACACTTAAAATTCGGCATTTATAGACAAAAGTTTACATGACTTGCTTTCCAAAATCCTGAAAGAACCTTAATCGGAGGCCAATTTTTCAAAGGACATTAACTATGAATATATAACTGGAGCCAATGGTGGGGTTTTAAATTATTGGTTAGAGTGACTTAAATATTATTTCACGAATGACCCTGTGTTGAAATTTAAATTTTTTTGCAGAAGATCAATTTTTATTATTTTGAAAAAAAAAAAAACTAAAAGAGTTGATCTTTGTTGTTCGGAGATATTTTTGAGAACAAGAATAATAAAATACTCAATTATTCAAGCATTACTCTTTACACGAATGAGTAGGATTTTAATGAAAGGAGTTTCAATAAAAATAGGGTCCTTCGTCAAGGGGCTTTAACAGGAGGTCAAATATTTTAATCAATTATTCTTCAAAACCAATCTTATCACATCCGCATTTTCACTTATCAAACTGTGTTTGTCTTCACTTTTATTGGTAGAACATTCGTTAGTAACGATGGCAACACTAAATCTTTTGTTCAATTGGGCATCATTCTTTTACATTCAGCTATTTGAGGGATGGTGTCAATTATTTTGTAATCTAATATTCTTCAATGTTTGTTGATATGTGTCTATACAGAAGAATGTTCTTTGATTTTAAGATAAAATTCGATACAGTATTTTTTCATAATAAAATTATTGCTGTCTATTATCAAACATTTAAAAAATAATTTCTAATTCATACATTTTTGATAAACGTTACGAATTGAAATGTTTTGAAATTGAGGGGTGGATAACAGATGTACACAGTGATGTATCTATGTATGCAATTGTGGAGGGGGAATTTGTTAAGGCTTTCATTGAAATTCGATTAAAATACACATTTTATGTCATTTGATTTATATGTGAGATTTGAGGATAAGCACACTTGTGGAAGTTTTGTTATCAATAAATCTATAACAATTTTATACAAAGAAAATATTTTAAGATGTAGAGGAGTTTTAATGAAATAGATTTAAAATTATATTGTAAATAAAAATGTTTACATTGGGTGTATTGAAAAAATCGTATTTAATTTTTCTATTATTGAATAAATCATATTTGACTTAGCTACTGTAAAACCAGTAAAGAAAGTCTTAAAGTCGGGCGGGGCCGACTTTCTGATACCCTACACCACTTTGCTAATTTAGTAGAACTGCGCATAACAATTAAAAGTTTTTATGGGAGAATTCAATCATACACGCTATGATTATAACTATAATTTAAAGTTCAAAGGACTAAATATGCCGAAGCATTTGTATCTTTTAAATTCGGACTTGCATTGCCCATTTGGTGCACAATTAATTTGAAATCGGAAAAATATATATATGGGAGCTATATCTAAATCGGAACCGATTTCGATAAAATTTGGCAAATACATTTCTGAGCTGTATTTGATATATTTCCCTGAATATCGTTGTTACGGAGTGCATACTACCGATATAGCTATGGCTCCCATATATACGTTTCATCCGATTTTGTGCTAAAAGTCCCTCACGTACGTAATATGCGCTCCATATCAATGATATTTGATACCGGGCTTCAGTTACTGCTCGAAAATACCTCTGCCAAATTTTATCGAGATCGGTTCGGCTTTTATATAGCTTCGATATACATTTTCTTCTGATTTTACGGCTATTGCTGAGCATATATAAAATATTAGCCCAAAATTGAATGGAATTTTTCATATTCAACCGAATTTTACCATTTAGAGAAACTCTGTCCGGTATTGCTTCAATAACTATTCCTTGTCGAAGTCATATCATGCACTATACAGGAATGTTATTTGGTTCATAGCTGATATGATGTACTTCACATCAATTCCCCATATAAACGTTTTTGTTATGTGAGCTCTACTAAATACGCATAGTGGTGTAGGGTATCATATAGTTGGTCCCGCTTGACTTTAATCTTTCCTTACTGCTTAAATTGTGTTCTCATTTTATTAAATTTTAACTATAAACACTGCTCATTCATCTGCAACTTATCCTTCAAAACACAGGTTCACTGACATGCCGGTTCTTTCCCATCCCATCGCATCCACCACTTCACAAAACTATAGCCTCTTATTCGTGCATTCGTTTCGAAACAACGCATTTGACACTTCCAATATCTTTTCAATGATATACGAGACATCACAAGAACGATATCATCTACTCAAAGCAAAGACAGCCAAACAACAAAAACACCAACAAGATTTGCCCGCCATTGCCATCACTACGCCAAATGCTATGAACTAAATACACTCTGGCGAAAATGCTGTTAAACTTACCGTCCTTTTTCCGTTGAATGATGATACCATCGTACGGTTTTTTGTTTTAGGACTTCGGGTACTTTGACAAAACACGATAGATGCAGCGTTTGGCCATATGAGGCTGTGATACGTTTCTTGAGGACGCTTGTATCGCAAATGCCGGAAGTTTCGTTGGCAACATCCTAACAAAGGAAGCATAAAAAACGAGAGAGACAAGAGAAAAGGAAAAGATAAGATATGAAACATAGAAATATGATAGAAATTTAATGAAATTGGATATCTGGAGATTTAAATTAAAATGTTCCAAAATGAAAAACAAAAACAAAAAAAAAATATTATGTCGACAACACGTTACTCGTCTAGTTGCCTTCTTGCTTACCTGCAACAAACCCAGTTGATATGGCTTACATGTTCCAGCATCCTTGTCCCAGCCGCAATAGGGATCTGCCACACAACGGAAACAGGAGTCATAACGTCGGGCACACATTGCCAAATCGATTTGTTTAACCGCATAATCCGTCGACAGATACAGGGATCCTGTTTTCTGGCTTATACCCATTTCCCGAATCGGTTCATTGTGTGCCACCTCAAAGATATCCAACAGATTGGAATGTCGATGACCATAGCGTATAAATTGTACAATTTTATATATGCTGCCAGTGGCTGTGCCAATGAAGTACACTAAATATTCTTGATTTAATTTATCGATGCGAATTCTGGAAAATAGGAAAAACAATTATGAATAAATAACAATTATGAATAAATTATTATTTTTTTTATTTTAAACTAAATATTGAATTGGATTTTCTATGCATCTAAATTGGGCGAGAAAAAATAAGGATCTCTGTTTGTAGTTATTTTTCTTCCAAACGAAAATATTTTTTTTTAAATTTTAGTGCTAAAAGCTACAAAATTGTAGTTGACAGATCGAGAAGAGCTGTAACTTTAAAGTTTGGCTTGAGGATTAATTCCAATAGGTGATAGAAGTCGACATTTTTGGAAATTCCTACTAAGAGCGTACGAAAAGCATCAACAAAGGTACAACTTCAACTATTGAAAAGAGGTAGAACTTTGAAATATGCAGCGAGCGATTTTTGAATACGAACAAGTTAAAAAGCAGTAAGTTCGGCCGGGCCGAACTTTGAATACTCTCCACCATTTGGAACGAATTTGGAAATTTAAAAAAATATATAATCCTTAAAAAATTCTGTTAAATTTTAAAAATACCGAATATTGCCGTTATATTGGGGTCTATATGACGTGGACCTACATAGGCATTGTTTGCCATTAGCCATTACCATATTCAAATTCGAAACTTGAAATAAACGGTGAATAACGTGGCTAAAATCATCAAAATATCATATATAGGGAGGTACCATTATATCGGAGCTGTGCGAAGACCTGGACCAGCATAGACAATTTTCTGTCACAGGCTATAGCATCCATTACTAACGTCAAATACGATATCTCAAACAATTTCAGTGGGTATTGTACTTAAACTCGTCAAAATACCGAATATAGGGAGGTACTGATATGTGGGGCCTATACGAAGACCTGGACCTTCATAGACATTTTTCTGTCACAGACTGTAGTTCCCATTACGAACTCTAAATACGTAATTTGAAACAATTCCGATGAATAATGGCGTTAAAATCATCAAAATACCGAATTTTGGGAGGTACCGTTATATGGGAGCTATACGAAGACGTGGACCTGCACAAACAATTTTCTGTCATAGGCTGTAGTATTTAGTACGAATCTCAAACACCAAATTCGAAACAATTTCGGTGAATTATGTCGCTAAAATCATCATAATACCGAATATAGGGAGATACCGTTCGAAAGATAGCGTGATTACAACAGACAGACGGACAGACAGACAGACAGACGGACATCGCTAAATCGACTTTACGCTGATCAAGAATATATATACTTAGTTGGGTCTGACATGAGTATTTCGAGGAGTTACAAACGGAATGACAAAGTTAATATACCCTCCATAGTATGGTGGAGGGTATAAAAATGATAATTAAGGAAGTGGAATGTTCTGGAAGGTACAAAAAATCAATCGATTAGAACTAGAACTTTTATATTGATATAAGGCAGCTTATGCAGACGACAAATATACGGTAAAATTTTCGGAACTTCATACTTTGGATAGGAAAACTTCGAAAAATGTGTTCAGAAATTATAAATGTAGCATAAGAGGCTAAGGTGATATAAGACGGGATTTTTGGAAAGTCTTACCTTAGGAGTACAAAAAAGAGCTAATATATGCACAAAGGTACAACATTGTAATAGAGCGATTGGAATGAGTTAGATCAAACAGGTTACTCTTTGTGTAGAAGGGAGGGGTACTATGGAACATTTCAAAACTAGCGCTTAAAGGGCACGGAAAGTACTATTGTTATTAATGCTATAAATTTGAGATTTTTTTGTCGTCGTAATTTAAGGGTACAAACAAAAGAACTAATAGATGAAACATTGTTGTGAAATCGGAAAAAGTAAGATCATGAAGGTCAATCTTTGTACAAAAGCAAGAGAGATATAATGACATTTTTACAAAAATCATATTTAAAGTGTACGGAAAGTACTATTACGTAAAATATACAAAGAGGTTCCATATTGTTACTAATCGATAAATAAGAGATAGAATCTCAATATTTTGCATTGAGCACATTTTGTCTATTTAGTAGTGGATACGCGGGATTTTCGGACCTCCCTATTTGGACTACGAAATGTACTAACAGATGCAAATAGTTCCAATGTTGATATTTTTTGATTTTGTATTGATGATAGGTGGACACGCTGCATTTTCGAACTTCTTTATTTACGGTACGAAATGTACTAAAAGGTATAATATGATACATCATTCATATTCGGACGTGATGATATCTAATACATGAACATTTAGCTCGATGGGTAATATAAAGTACAAACCAGTAAAGCAAGTCTTAAAGTCGGGCGGGGCCGACTTTATGATACCCTACACCACTTTGCTAATTTAGTAGAGCTCCACATAACAATTAAAAGTTGTTAATCATACACGCTATGATTACAATTATACTTTAAAATTCAAAGGACTAAATATGCCGAAGCATTTGTATCTTTTAAATTCGGAATTGTATTGCCCATTTGGTGCACAAATAATTTAAAATCGGATAAAGATATATATGGGAGCTATATCCAAATCTGAACCGATTTCGGTAAAATTTGGCAAAGATATTTCTGAGCTGTATTTGATATATTTCCCTGAATATCGATGTTACGGAGTGCATATTACGGTTGTGGGTAACAAATATAACAAATCGGATGGACACTATATATGGGAGCTATAGCTATATCTGAACCGATCTTCACCAAATTTTACAAACTAGCTTCTAGACTCAATTCGGCCGTAAGTGCCAAATTCCATCCCATTTGGACAAATATTAGATGGTGCAAAATAAAAAGCAAATCGGACGAAGTTATATATGGGAGCTATATCCAAATCTGAACCGATTTCGAAAATTTAGCTAATGTATTTCTGAGCTGTATTTGATATATTTCCCGAAATATTGTTGTTGCAGAGTGCATATTACGGCGGCGGTGGACAAAAATAACAAATTGGATGAACAATATAGCTATAGCTATATCTGAACCGATCAAATTTGGCATACATATTTTCAGGCCCAATTTGGGTGTATATGCAAAATTCCATACAATTCGGGCTGATATTACACGTTTGGTGCACAATAAAAGGCAAATCGGACGAAGATATATAAGGGAGCTATATCTAAATTTTGACCGATGATCTCCAATAGGGTTCGTCCTTGGGCCAAACAAATGATTTGTGCAAAATTTCATCTGGATCGGGCAATAAATGCAAACTGTACTTTGTTTACAAAATTACATGGACAGACGGACGGACGGACAGACGGGCGGACGGACATGCATAAATCGACTCAGAATGTGATTCTATGCAGATCATCATAAGGAACTATGGGTCTATCTCGTTTCTTTGTGCCTGTTACAAACAAATGCACAAAGATATAATACCCTGACCACCTTGTGGTGTAGGGTATAATAGAAATTGGCAGATTAGGAGTACTAAAATTACCAAAAAGTACAAAAAAGTACAATATTGTTATTGAACGGTAGACAAGAGTTCAAATTTGGAAATTTTGAATAAAGGTCCGAGATTCTGTAGTGGGTGATATTTTCGAAATAACGTACCTTATGTGGGGAAATGTACAACATTATTTTTGATCGACAAGAAACTTGTAGTTTTTAGGAACTTCCTGTAAAAGGATAAGAACCGTACAAACTGGTACAACATTGCGATTCATTAAGGCTAAGATTAGAGCTGAAATTCTAAAATTTAGTACGGGTAGCACTCCCTATGTATAATACGGTCTTTAAACGCAATTACAGTTATAACAACAAACGTATCCCAATTCAAAGGTACTCTTTGCTACACTTCACAAACTCTCCCCCAAAACTCTGCCTCCTTTAAAGCCCTTTTTTACTCCAAAATTTCCTCCAAAACATTTAATATAAAAATCAACAATCCCATTTAGTTTATGAAACACTTTGTAAATGTCAAAAGTTTATTCCAGTTTTCCCAGTAACTATTAAAAAACAAAGTTTTCCCAAACCAAACTCCAACCAAATGAATAGTTGTTAGAATTTTCTATTTCTCGGCAAGTTTTTGCTTAGCAACATCTTTAAGCTGGGAAAAACAAACTTAAAAAAAGTGAAAAATAAAACGACAAACGTTTAAAGAAAATTGCTTCCGCTTTTGAAAAAGAAAAACAAAAATTATATATATTTTGTTCTATATTTCCTTGGTCACTTGTGTGTGTGTGTGTTTGTAGAATTTAGTTTTTTTCGGAGAATGCAGAGGCAGAGCAAAAGAGCCTTAAAAGAAAATGTCACTAAGAAAAAAGCATACACACAGACAAAAATAAAAAACACGAACAAAATATGAGTTTGAGTTGGTTTTAAAACAAAATACCGGAAAAGAAATGTCCTTTTCAAATTACTTAGATATTTGTTGTTGTTCTTGTTGTGGTTGTTGCTTGTGTTCTTTAAAGCACATTACCCAAATAGTCATTACCATAAGTCACAAAGAGGGACAAAAAGCCATATTACCACAGAAAACAAGCAAACCAGAGAGGAAATCATTTAAGTTTGAAAATTCTTCTGCTCGAAATGAACTTTACAAAAAATTAGAGATTTGATGCAAAGATCTCAAATACACAATATTTTAAGAGCCAATGCTGTTTTAATTAAGTTAATGTTATTTAAGTATTTATTGAGGCCATCATAATGTAGTGTAAAGTTATGTATTTCCGAAGGAAAAGGAATTTTGCTGAGAATTTAAGAATAGGAATTCTTAAAATTTGCCATAAATTATTTAATTTGGGGATTTTTTGAAGTAACTTAAATTTAAATCTGAATTTAAAATTAAGCTATAGAAATATAATTGAAAGACATATTTTCCTTTGAAAACCGAGAAAAATGTAGCGAAGTAATTGCTGTCATATCAATAATGGGCCCTCGGGGAATTGTGCAAACAGTTAATAACTGATTAAATTTCATAAATACAAGGGACGAAATTGGTCAAGTAAAGCCCCATGGGGGCATTTTTTCTTTGGATGAAAATCTTCAAAGACGATATTCAGTTATTATACTTTAACTTTTAAAAACTGCAAACTACCATGGGTGAGCACCGAATAGGTGCCAAAATTGGACTTTAAATATGATATAACATTTTACGCCGCTAAAAATAGTAAAAAAGCAGTCCATGTTAGGACTTGTCGAAAATTTAATACCCTAGAAACAAGTATGTAAAATTTGTTGAAAATCGGTGCCGATATAGCTATAGCTCCCATTTATATTATGAATCCGAAGTGTTATTTTTGTCCTCCACAGCCGTGATATGCACTTCGTGAGAACGATATTTGGGAAAATATATCACATATAGCTCAACAATTCCATTGCCAAATTTAATCTAGATCGGATCAGATTTGGATATAGCTCCCATATATATTTTAACCGATTTCAAAATTATTGTGCAACAAATGGGTAGTATAGGCCAGAATTAAATGAATTTCGGCATATACGACCGAATTCAAGAGAAGTGGAGGAAAGACTGTCAAATTTGATGAAAATCAATTCAGATATAGCTGTAGGTCCCATATATATGTTTCATCCGATTTAGTGTCCCTCTCACTCTCTCTCTGATGCATCTGTTCAGATTTGGATATAGCTCCCATATACATCCTTATCTGATTTTAGGTTTATTCTGTCTAAAAAATCATAATAACAGTACAAATAGAATGGATTTTGATGGATTTTAAGTTAAAATTAAGGAGCAAAGCAAAGAGTCAGCCCGCCCGACTTTTGGATTTTTTTTGCAGGTTTTAAATCAAAAAAAAAAAAAAAATCCTGATTTGGAGCAAGTGTCAGTTCTTCATCTTCACAATATTTGCTTGCGAATCCAATATTTATTTTAAAAAATATTATAGAAATGGTAGGTACTCTAATGGCTTCTAAACCTCGTATCATCTTTCTGGTACAGATTTGTTTTCTGAACCGATTCTGTTGATATTTTCTTGCTCCGGGGCAAGTTTTGTGAATGAGGTGAATTTGTAATAAAACTCGAATTTTATAAGTAGTGTTTCTATGGAGTTTCACTTCTCAACCCATTTATACCACAAACCATCCCCTGGTGGCCCTTACCCCAGTGAATGGGTAAATTTTCCCACAAAAGTTTGGATAAAAACCCACTTCACAATGGTTCTTGCTAATTTATTGCCATTATCCTCTTGGAGAAAAATTTGGATCTATTTCAACTTTTACTTGAAAAACATGCTTGTGGTTTCTCTGACCCTCGGGCTCCACATTAATGTCCCATCACTGGCCTTTTGTGGGTTTTTATGTTTATTTGTTCCTAAGATGGTTCTAAACACATACATATATATGTATGTGTAGCTGCCTATTTTATTTGTGGTAAAAGAAATGCAATTCGTTTTGTTTTTACCATAATTTTTTGGCAAACTTACAAAAACCTCCCCCTTTCCCTGCTGGCAGCTTTTTTGGCATTGTTGCTATTTCTTTTTTTTTGGAGAAATTCATTGTTTAAAATATTATGCCATAAATATCTTAAGAAAAGCCAAACGGAAAAACAAAAACCTCTTTCATTTATAAACTCTCCGTTTGGACACAAAAGAACCGTTACAAAAGAAACCCCCCAAATGGAGACAGAACAAGATATATGTTCTTTTTTGTGTTGTTGGTCAAACACTACTTACTTGTCCACAACCAATTTGGTCAAGATAATATCACGTTTATAAAACACCGGATTGCCAAATTCATGATCGATGGCCTTGTCCATTAATGGATGTTTACGTATGAAATTGAGCACTAAATCGGGCAGGGCTGTGGTATCTTCAACACATGTGCCTGGACGTGGTTCGGGTACTTTGGAATTCAAGACAGGCAGCCAGGCGGAGTTGGAGGTGGCTTGTTCTTTGAATTTACCTGTAATGGAGGAAGATGAAAAAAGTGGAGACATAAATAATATGGGGTTTGATGTGAAGAGAATTGTATAAGAAATATATGTAAGTAAGTGGTATAGTTGTTATGTGAAATAGGATATACACTGGAGTTTTAAAGCACAAATAGCAAATAGTTTGATATAAATTTAAAACAGTTTAAATATAAAAATTAAATATAATATAGTTGTATAATATTTATAATAAAGAAATATACCGGGCTTAAATACAGGGTGAGATAAAAAAAAACTGCAACAATGTCAGACGCAATAATTTTTACATTTTTTACATTTTATTGAATAAAACCTAAAAATTTCGGAAATAGCAACAAATTTTACAATTAGTTGTTCGAATTGGTCAGCTTTGGCACGAATTATGGCTTTCAAACGGACAATGAAACCGTCACACGCTGCTCGAATGTTGCTCTGTGGTATTTTGGCCCATTCTCGGCGAAGCGCTTGCTTGGGGTGATCGACACTTTGGTATTTTTTAGTGCCAACCTTGCTTTCAAAAATACTCCAGGATTGGTATTCGGAGATTTTGGTGGCCCTTGTGCGCTGGAAATGAAGCGAGGAACCTCATTTTGTAACTATTCTTGGTTGGCGCGTGCTGAGTGCGATGGTACTGAGTACTATTGGAATGTCCAAGGTATGCGGCCAAAATGTTTACGTGCCCAAGGCTTTAATACACCCTCCAGAATATTATCGCCAAAATAATACAAGTGGAGAGAGACCATAGGCTGTTATGGCGGCCCAAACCATCACCATGGCCAGCGCTTGAGTTCTAATCGAAGGTGCACATTTTCAGCTGACCTCTTTGGCAAGTAAACACGATCATTTTGTTTGTTTACAAGCTGCTGGAAAACGAATGTTTTCTAATCGGAGAATACCAAATTCGGATGTTCACCACTTTCGGCCAAGCAAAGCAACTCTTTGGCTCTTTTGAGTCAATTTTCTTTCTGTGGCGGTGTAAGTACTTGCACTTTTTGGAACTTCAATGACTTTACCCCGAGCTCATTTTTTAATATTTGCCGAATGGAATATGGCTACATGTTCAGCTCACGAGCCATTTTTCGGCCACTGCGACGCCAGCTTCGATCAAGTCGCCTCTTTACTTTTCGGACCATTTCTGCTGATGTTGCTGTTTTCTGCCGTCCACTTCCTTTATTTATTTTTATTTTATTGTCCATTTCGGGATAATTCTCACCTAAATGCTTTTGTACGCTTGTAAACAATATAATGAGCTCCCACTGGTATTATTTTAACAGCTGTCGGACGAGTGGCTTGGATATAAAAGCAGTCTAAAGTTGGTTGCACTTTTCTCATCCCACCCTGTAAATTTCACTGCCGTCAAAAAAATACTGTTACCAGAACTCTTTAGTTAAAAATAGTTTAATAAGTTTAATAAGAAATCGATGCAACCAAAGTATAGCAGATTCTTTTTTTTCAATAACCTATTTTATTGTCTATTTTATAGACAACAATTAATATGCCACAAATATTTTAAATGAGTTTTCGAACTCGTTTTCACTCAATTACCCCTTTTCATAGGACTATAGGTTTTCAAAACCTTATCCTTTCATTCATCCCAAAATATTATCTACTAAATTATTAATTTATATTTCTGCATTTAAAGCTATCAATTGCCCATTTGCATACCATGCTACATTTTCAAAACCTCGTCCCCTTCCTTTATCCTAAAATATCATCCGTAAAATTTCCTACTAAAACTTCTGCATTTAAATCTATTGCAGCATAAACTTAAGAGATTACATTTAAACATATTGTTTCAGGTTATAAAAATATTCATATATAATATGGCTCACTACCACCACTACGATGCACATCACCCAAATTTACACACACACACACTTCATTCTCCGCTTCGTTAAAGTAATATAAGTGTGCACTGTAATATAAACCTTCAAGGGGTTATGCGAATATAAACGTTTTTTATTCTATCCATCGTTTTAACGTGCAAAAAGTGCTGTATATGTATATTTATAGGGAAACACCTGCAGCACCAGGTTATAATCAGAAATTTTGTGATACTTCTCGACATAAAATTTTAAGAGACAGAAGGATGAGATTTCGCAGCAATTGTGTTGCTGGATATATTTAAGTGGATGCAAAATATTTATTCAAGAGATTCTGAAGGTCGTTATTACATCGTAAAATTCATGAAATTTGTATTCATTTTTTTTGCTGGAGGAGAATGGGTCAAAATGGAATGATGTGATTTTGAATTTGGGGATATTTCATTGATGTCAAGGATTGAAATATGTCCACTAGATGGTGGACAATATGCCACCTATCTTTAAAGGTAATAGAATCTAGTTGTCATTTAAGAATTCTTTACAAATTACGTTAATTCTACATTGTATTCTATATAAAAGACACCGACAAAAAGACAAAATAGATTTTTTGGGAGAAAATATTTATTGTCTATGCGATTTAGTCTAGAAATACTCACAAAAAACTTGGAAGCCAAATGAGCAAATGTGTCCATAAAAATGCATATTTATTTAAAAAAATGCAGAAGCAGATAAGCTTATATTCTTCATTACCGAGTAATCAGTAATGTTGTCATAGAACATGTGCACCCGAATTTAAATCTAGAGGTCCTGGAATCGAGTCTCAGTGGTGGCAATCGATTATGTTAAATAATAAAATACGATGATTTGTAGCTGTAGATGTAAGGGAACCGAAATCAGAGTACAATAATAGCAATAGGCAAAATTATATTATGTATTGTAGTAAAATTAATTTACTTCGCCATTTCTAACAATAAAACTAGTCTTTTTTTTCATATAGATTTTACTTTTGAATTACAAATTATTTCGGCGAAATGTTTATTTGTAAGCTGCTAGGAGAGCCATTATTTGGTAATGGGTGTTTTTGGTAGGTATGAAAACAAGATAATGTGATTATTAACAGCCTGTGAATTTTTGAATGATATGAAAAAACTGCAACCAACTTCCGACTGCTGTCATTTCTAAGCCACCCGTCCGACAGCTGTTAAAATTATTACAGTGACAGCTCATTATATTGCTTACAAGCGTACAAAAGCATTTTGTTGAGAATTTTCCAGAAAAAAAATTAGTTGTGATGGAATGAAGCGTGATAGTGTGATTTCTTTATATTTGGCTGGAAAACCACAAGTGGCTATCGTTAGACCACTCCAGCATTTGAATGTGAATAAATATTTTGTGTCTCGTAACATCCATAGTTACCGTGATACTGGTAGCGTAGTCGTCGTCAAGGAAGTGGACGGAAGACGGAACAGCAACATCAGCAGAAATGGTTCAATAAATATAGAAGCGACTTAATCGAAACCCACGTCGCAATAGCCAGAAAATGGCTCGTGAGCCGAACATATCCCAATATTCCATTCGGCGAATATTGAAAAATGAGCCATTGAAATTCCAAAGAGTGCAAGAACTCACACCGCAATAGAATGAAAATAGACTCAGAAGAGCTAAAGAGTTGCTTCGCTCGGCCGAAAGTGGTAAACTGCCGAATTTGCAGTTTGTAAACGAACAAAATTATCTTGTTTACTTGTCAAAGAGGACAGCTTAAATTTTGCACCTTCCGAATAAATGCCGAATATTATCGCGAAAATATTCTGGAGGGTGTATTAAAGCCTTGGGCACGAAAACATTGTGGCCGCAGATCTTGGACATTCCAACAGGACTCAGCACCATCGCACTCAGCACGCGCCACCAAAGAATGGTTACAAAATCAGGTTCCTCTCTTCATTTCCAGCGCACAATGGCCACCAAAATCTCCGAATACCAATCCGTTGGACTATTGTGTCTGGAGTATTTTGAAAAGCCAGGTTGGCACTAAAAATACCAATGTGTCGATCACCTCAAGGAAGCGCTTCGCCGATAATGGGTCAAAATACCGCTGAGCAACATTCGGGCAGCGAGTAGCGGTTTCATTGGCCGTTTGAAGGCCATAATTCGTGCCAAAGCTGACCAATTCGAACAAATCTAAACGTATTCCAAAATTTGAAGCTATTTCCGACATTTTTTGATAATATGTAAAACTTGTGACATTTGACTTTGTTGCAGTTTTTTATCTCACCCTCTATGTGGTCTGGGGTATAAAAAATTCAGTGGCGTCGAATTTGCTTTGTCAAATTACAATTGCAGGGTTTTAAATTTTAATAGTTCAGACTTAAAATGAATTATATCATACCCACTATGTGTATTAAGTAGAACTACTTGTTACAAAATAATCTTTTATATTGGTACGACTATTGGCTATATTTGAACCGATTTTCACCAAATTTGGCGTAGTGGCTTTCGGACGGCCTGTATGTTTATGAATTCTTGTGAACAAAATGCACGTTGCATTTATTATCCCATTGAGATGAAATTTTCCAAACAATATTTGTTTGGCCCAAGGACGAACCCTATTGAAATTGGTTAGAATCGGTTGAAATTTAGATATGGCTCCCAAATATATCTTCAACCGATTTCTTGTCATTTGTACACCAAATGTCCGATAATAGTCCAAATTACCTGAATTTTGGTACATCCGAGCGAATTCAGTCTTGAAGCAAGTACATCAAATGTGGTGAAAATCAGGTTAGATATAGCTGTAGCTCCCATATATACTTTTCATTCGATTTGATATTAATAAGTATGCACAGTGGTGTAGGGTATCATATAGTCGCCGGGCCGGTCTTTTGACTTTTCCTTAGTGGTTTAATTAGAAGAATTTTCAAAAAGAGTAGTTTATTTCGATATTATTTGTCCCTTAAAATATTTGGTATTAATGGATTCACATTTCTTTTAAATTTTGTGTTAATGTCCTCTTTTTGATTCATTTGTAATATTTTTAATTTTATTCGTTCGTAACTTTTGACATTCTTTCTTGGTCAAGGTAGCATTAAAAAGTTAATACCGCTCATATAAAATGTTGTCATAATAATGTCATTAATCCAAGTACTCATCGATTTTAATTTTTTTCTTTTATT